GTTCCTACGCCCGTGCATTATGCTACCGTTTGTCTGGCCAATTCGGTCAAGTAATCTTCAGCATGTCTGCATAATGTGCTGCCTATTTGAAATTTATACAGCACGTTGAAAAGTAATGGGCCTGCAAATGAAAGTATGGCTGGCTGGGGTAATGCCGAAAACGTGCAATTACGCACGTTAAAGCACGCTACGTGGACTTTACTGCTGTAGAATAGCAACGCGTATTTTTAGTCACACAAATTACACTTTCAACCGACACAACGGCCTGTTACCTATAAGGAATGATTTACCTGGCATTTTCTTATTATATCACACAATTATAACTTCCAGTGTGCACCAAGCGTCCTCGAGATCTTAAACGCGTGTCAGCTTTGATGAATTCTGGATAAAGTTTGAGATAAAATGGCAAAATATCAATGTCGGCATTCCCCGTAGATCATTTTTCCCATTTTCGGCTTTCCCCGCAGTCCGGGGCAACGCCGAAAAAGTCACTTCTTTGATATTCTTAGTTTGTGTGCTTAACGGTATGCGAATTCATCAAATGCGCCTGGTATGTTTGAAAGGCAAACGACTGGCCTCTCGAATGACGCCAACAAGAATGGCTTATGTTGTCATACACTGTAAAAAAAGATTAGCACCCCGGTGTGCTAGTCGGATGCTGCGGTTCTGGAACAAGAGCCCTGGGTGCTTAACCTGCACTTAAAATGTTCTACATTTAGCAGTCTAAGACTCTTAGGTACTTGTCTAAGCTCCGAAATTGACAATTTGCCCGCACTTGAAGCACTTCCCTGCTTCAAGGATGCTTGGAATAGCACCAACGCACGGATGGTGCTAATCTAAGCATCAGTTTTAAGCACCATGATCAAACTTCAGAGCTGATGAAAGCACCCAAAATATGCTTCATCGATTTTGGCGGGAACATCGCATCCGTTCGGTGCTAATTGGTTTGCTTGTTCAGCATCTGGGTGCTTACGTCGTACGAAAAAAAGCAGCGAATTCAGAAAGCGCGCGGGATTCGCGACGCCATTTGCATTTGTCAAGTCAGTTGTGCGGGAGCGCTCGGCCGGGTTGGTTGGTCCATGTGCGTGCGGTCAGTGATAGAAACAGTGATGGTGTTGGTCGTTTGTAGGCGAATACGGGTATTCGTGAGTGACAATACTGAAGTGGGTGTCGTCTTAACTGAAATGAAGACCGAGTCTGAAGTCTGAAAAGGAGCATCAATGGAGGAGCTGCGTGGGAACTTTCCAGCCTTGTCGGAGTGCTAAGGTGGGCTTGCACTGACCTGCTGTCGTGCTATGAATAATAATGGATGTAATTCCACACCTTTTTAGGGTTGATAAGGCAAAGTTTTATCGACATTTTACCAGATAGGCGACAGATAACTTATGGCTAATGAAAAGAATTATAATCTTCACAGTGAAAGAGACAGTGCAGACTGCAGAATGCAGATGGCATATTTTTCCATTTATCTATTACGGGCATGGTTGACGGCAGACGTGGCTGTTTAGGGCGGCGGCCGCAGCCTGTATAGCGGCGCCGATATGTTGTGATTTATCAGCTTATGTTGTAATGCCAGGGGAGCGGCCCTGTGGCACTGTTCGCATGGACGTGCTGATATTCTGTTGTTGTTGTTGTTTTTTAATTTGTAAAAAGGTGCTTTGTGATTAAGAAGTTTACGCTTGTGCTTAAATTTAACTCTAATAACCGTCATACGTCATGTCCATTACCATAAATAAACGACAAACAACTTAACAACTAAACGTGTTTGCAGCATGAGGTAGGCTTTAAGAATCGCAATGTTCCTTTCGATTTAGCTCGGCTCGCGGCCGGCGGCTACGTCCCTCGCCGCCACTCTTCAAAATGCGTCTAAGTTTTCTCCGCTCCGAATAAAAGTCCCGGCCTCCGCCAGAGGCTCGAGAAGGTCGGTCAAGTACCCATGTGCTTAGCACGTGCTTACGCTGTAGCACCATACGGCAGTAAGCACCCACTAGGAGCTGAAAATTGAACTCGGCACATTTTTGGGTGCTAGACGCATGCTACACTGTAAAAAAAGTTAAGCACCATAGAGGTACTTTTCAATTGACTAATTTTCAGTACCCTAGCGGTGCTAAGCTAAGCATTTTATTCGTACTTAACTGAGATCTAGTTTAGTATCAAGGTGCTAATATAAGTACCCATATTTGTTTAGCACCCGTGCACTAAATGTAGTACCCTACACCTGCTAGACCAATTTTCAGTACCCTAGCGGTGCTAAACTTTAAAAGGTGCTAAGAATAGCATGCAGTTAGTACCTTCCGCACTCACATATGAACCGTTTTAGCGCTATTGTTACCCCACGACAAGTAGAATAATGCTAACGAAAGCATTGGGGCTGAAAGTAGAATATCTATACTAGGTAAAGCTGCTGCATGAAAAGTTCGCAAAAACTGCTTTCTTTAGCAGCACATACTTTCACTAGTTACTGCAAAAAGGACTAATCAATTACCAAAAAGGAAATTGTGTAAGGCCGAAAAGACGTGCAAAAAGGTTATATCCTAGATAAGTGATAACTACAAGTCTCAATGATTGTGTTTTGCATTCTGCAATATTCCCGTGTAAGTGCATCTTTCAAGCATCCAACACATTATAAAATTGAAAAATAATAATGGAACATTTATTAACACTTCATATCATCTGCATGAAAAACAAATGTAAATATATACACAAACAAACGCACGGGAAATAACGAAAGGTCGCTCATATACCTGCACACTCGCAGTGACCGACGATTAACGCGAGATCGACTGGGGGAGGCGGGGGGGGGGGGTCGTTGAACCGACGTTCCGTTCATGGCCATAAGTTCGACCTCATCCACGACCAGACGGCGTTTAGTGATAGACGGAACCGGAGACCCCGTGTTGTTGTCGTAGTTGTCCTCCATAAGTGGTAGTCGACGGAAGAACTGACCAGGCCCCATGCCTGGAGCAAAAAAAAAAAAAACTGGATCAGTTCCAAGATTTTTTTCTGTTGGGAGCTATTTTCGCAAACAACACAACTTTCCTTCAGACCAAGAAGCGCGATTTGCCAAAGTCGGAATATGAAGCACTTAAACAATAAGATAATGTCAAAAGATACAACGTGTCAGACTCACCAAAGTCGATCAACGTCGGTGTCGGTGGCATGTGTCGGTGGCAAATGCTCATGTACCACCCGGCCCCGGAGCACTTCACTTCACTTCACTGCACTGCTGCACTGCACTTCCCTCCACCTCACTGCCTCCCGGAGCAGGGGCACGCACTCCCATGCCACGCACGACGGATTCCACCGATAATAGCTGATTTAAGCTATCATTCCAGAGCTATCACTCGGTGGCATGTGCCCGGAGCACTTCACTTCACTTCATTTCACTTCATATACCGGAGCACGTGCACACACTCCCACCACGACCAACGGACTCCACTAAAATGGCGCAACACGTGGCCGGAAACAGCTGGCACGCGCATGCGCATATCGCTCTGCGCCGTCAAAACGTGCTAAAGGGCTGGTGATAAGACTCCCAGTGATTTGTAAAGCAGGGCTTAGCTACTTTCTTTGGCGCCAATTTCAAATTTGTTTCCTCTGTAAGCATGTCCGGTTCTATTGTGATACTAACGTAAGCACCATATTCAGCATTACCAACTTCTAAAACACTTAAAATGGTTCTAATTAGAAATCCAGCTTGAAAGAGCACTCACTGATGGACTGGGTACTAGCAGAAGTAGACGTTAAGCTCAGTAGAAGAATAGGTGATCTAAACTTATAATATTTGATGGGAATGTCAGCTATCATTAGCACAGTATTAGCACCATGCTTCTTTGTAAATACGTCGTAGGGTTCTTTTGACGCTAAAAGGTGCTACGAATAGCAGCCGTTAGAACCCAAAATGCTAAACTTTTTTTTACAGTGTAGGGTGCTTCGGTGCCAATGTTAGCACCCGAGCTCTTAATGAAGCACCCTTTGGGTGCGTGAATTTAGCACCAAAGCACCAAAACGGTGCTAGTGCTAGCACCTATTTAGCACATATGGCTCTTAATGAAGCACCCTTTGGGTGCGTGAATTTAGCACCAAAGCACCAAAACGGTGCTAGTGCTAGCACCTATTTAGCACCTATGGCTCTGAACTAAGCACTCTTTGGAGTGTAAGTTGAGCACCAAGATGGTGCTAATGCTAGCATCTAGGGCTCTTGAGTAAGCACCATTTGGGGCATACATTAAGCACCAACGGGGTACTGAAAATTGAACTCTGACTTATGACCCAAAGGGTGCTAATCTTTTTTTTACAGTGTACGTTGCGTGCTACAGGCGTCAGAAAAAAAGTATTCGGCGTTCCCCCAACTTCCCCTATTGTTCCATTGCCATTGGCGGATTCAGGTAGTTGGACGATAGGTATACAATACGATGCATCGGCGCTACGGGTGTGCCTATAGGGGTAACTGCATTCCAAATTTTCGCTATTTACGGACGAGTCGTGGTTGAATGCACGTCTTCTGGCTCCGTCAGTGTCCATTATATCGCAAAGCGCAGCCACTTCTGTCTTCGCCTTTCACTCCTGTCTCCTAGTGACAGTTATTTTACTGCGTTACACGGTAGCTCAGTGGGCCGGGAGGAAGGCTCCGGCCAGCCGCCTGGGTCGCGAACGATCCGACACCGGGGGGAGAGAGGGCAGAGGAGGGCAGAGGACGGTCCCTGGGCTCAGTTAGCGCCTCACTCACCGCCAGTCCCGCATCCCGCCGCGCTCGGCGACACTCTTCTGAAGCCCGTAATGTGCTCTGTCAACTACAGGATCGATGAGCCTATTAGCACGCTAAAACAAATGGTGAAGATAGCATTCGTTTTTTCAATTGCTGTGGATATTTATGGACGGACTACGTGGACTACTATCTAGACTATATACTACTTGACTATGGACCACTATGCAATAAGCGCGCGTGAGAAACTGGACCACAAAACTGACAGCTAAGCATCAGAGTCCAAGCGTCTTACCCAATCAGCATCGCCCTGAATGAGGAACAGGCGTTAATTTCAGGCGCTATCTCCTACCAGCGGCATTTTATCGTTATCATTGAGTGGCAATGGATAAGCTGCGCCTTTGGCAGCGACTGCAACGTTAAAACTGCGGTAGGTAAGTACATACATGATCTAATTTGTTATGAAAATATGGTTAGATAGGTATGTACCTTCTTGTCAATTGCAGCCTGGGGTAGGTTTTATTATCGTTTGGTAATACACTTTTAAGAATTACAATAAACATTATACGTGCACCGTGATGTGATATTTTCGCAATCTATATACAGAGAGACAACGATTGGATGGTAGACGGTAGTCACTGAATAACCTTCCATTGAATTAAAGTTGGAAGGGGGAGGGCTCTACACTAATATTTCCAGAAGTTGCTGCATAGAGAAACCAAAGCAGAAACGGGAACTTGAATGAGCAATGAGCATCACTTTCACATTATTGTAGATATCTTGGTGTCAGTACCTATAGTTACTGGCTAGCAGTAGCGGCGGAACACCTTCAATTAAAGGGGGGCACTGCCGACTTTTGGTCGCATTCTTTCCATGCAACGCCCATATAGGGCTAACGTTGAAATGCCGAAATCAAAGGGGGACACGGTGCCCCGGTGCCCTTCCCGTTCCGCCGCCTATGCTGGCTAGCCTTATTAGTGGCTTTTGACCGCGATTTTGGTCTGGCAGTTGACATCTGTGTTGGTCGACATTGGCGCCGGCCTGTTCAATTTCTGTCAGCACATGCATTGTTTATAAATGCTCGACGTCCCAGGGGATTGTCTCATGTCCCCCCGCTGCAAACTGGTTGTCGTTGGACGCAGCCACCAAGTCATCACGAATGTTCTCATTATGTAAGTAGAGAACGGTGGGATAAAAAGCTGTCTCGGAATGATATTGTTCGGTGCGCATCATCATCCGCCTGGTCCTTAGGGTGACCATCGCTGGGTGTCTATCTAATGACTGGGGAAGGAGCACTTTTTCGTTGATTGAATCTCGTTAACATTTATATTCCTAATCTCGTTTATTCCAGTAGAATTTGGAAGCAATCCATTCAGAACATAAATGGAAACGTATAAAATCATACAAGTAATGCATAAAATTGCAAAAGTAATTCTTGTTTAGAAATGGCAATACCTTTGATAGTATGAGTAAATTTTTGCAAGCGGCACAAGATGCGCAAGCTATGGCTCAGTCTTGATGCACATAAGCACCTTCCACCCTCCCTGAAGACTTGCCCACACGTTAGGTGATGTCGCTGCTCACACAGAGTCATAGTAAAAACAGCAAAGGCGAATACAGCCAGCGACGCTCAGCTCGCATTTATGTAGCTGCTAGTGCGTAAATGTGTTATATTTCCCTCGTCAGGACAGGGGGTGGGCTGATGCTCCCATCAATAAAAAAAAAACATGGCGTCATCCTCCAGAGTAGTCGGTGGAATACGAATCCGTGGCGTTTTGTTCTACTGCTCAGCATGTTGTTGGATGCACACCGGCTTATTAGCAGCAACCAAAGTAGGCTCAATAAAACCTGTCTGACTGCATCTATAAATGAACCTAAACGGTTTTCGTCACATAAGCTCAAATCTGTATGATTCGGATTGTTTAACTCGTTTTGTGCCGATTAATGCCCGGTAAAAATCTGCCTAAATAAATGGCTGCTGTCTAAATAAATGAGTTGGCTCCCAGCCAACAACAATTGAGCTTTACCTGCAAAACAAATAGCCTTAGCAAAGTTTCCGGTAAGGCAGCCACATTATGTGGACCTGAGGTCACCAGTATATGTACAGTAAAATGAGGAGCCTATGGTCAGTCAGCTCTAGCCAAGAGAAACAGGCAAATGTTCCCATCGCTTGCGTCTGATAGAGGCAAAAAACGAGAGGGTGGGGCTCGAGGGGTCGCATCAGCCCTCTCCCCATTGCTGTCGAGAATGAAACAATGTTGTCGGAATGAAGAAGATGTAAGATCATGCTACATCGTAAATTGATAAAAATACAACCAGTTCATTACCTCTCTTACCTTGAATACCGATCGGCACAGGAAATTCTCCTTTACTGGCAACAACCTGAAAAAAATACATGCATAGCTAATGACTTGTCCGCTCGTGGAACGTTCCACTGCGCAATCGTTACATATCGTCCTATACAGCCTTGGGCACAGCAAGCGCTGGTGGATATCAGGCAGGGCTCGCTCAATTTTCTGCGCATCTTAAAGGGACTATCCCACCTTTAACATGGGGTTTGAGTTGAGATAGCCAAGTTTGCGGCGAGGTTCAGAAACCACTATCTATCTAGGTTGCAACCCCCGCGGCCTCTTGGTGTTGAAGAAATTCGTTCCTTTCATTTGAAAATGGGCCTTGTACAAGGCCCTATCTTCAACATGGAGCGACCGTTAGTGTGACGTCACCTCGTTTAGTCATTCTGATTTAAATGGGTTTTTTCGTTGAAAAATCGCTTGAAACTTGGTCTGAACTTTGTTGTGGTGCCTACAGAGTAAAAAGAATCAGCTTTATGACAGTAATGTGGCCTGGGGAAGGAGTTATTTCTGGGCTGTGACGTCACATATTTGAAAGTTTGTGTTTGGAATATGGGAAGCCTAAGATGTTTAATGAAAAATAAATGCCAGAACCGTGTTCCTGGTCATCCAATCTATAAAGTCGGGCACAATTTAACTGGTTTTAACAACATTTTAGAAGGTGGGATAGTCCCTTTAACCGAAATTAGCTGACCAGACTATGCGAGCCAGAATTTGGTCACAGTGGGAAGTCGTCAGATCAAAGTGACAATCAAGCTTAGAGAGTCAGTATCCGCTTTATACGACTGCTTTATATGCCAAAAAACACGAGGTGTTTTGACTTACATGCATCTCTAAATATTGATTTATCACTGTCACATGTAACTTACTTTGCCATTTCGGAGAGCTGTAGTTTTCCGTCTTTGTTGGCGTCGAATACTTGAAGCTGTAACAGGACGACAATGAGGTCAGTTATGGAATCTCAGAGGCGCTCTTTTGTTCCGGCAATAGCAATAAAATATTTATATTATTGTGATCACATGAAATGAGAAAATGGGCATTCATTTTACTCAAATATTCAATATAAAGGCGCTAGCGGCGCATCTCTTTTATTCGAAGATGCCAAACCACGCAAATTTGCGTCATTTGTTTAACTAATAGCCCGTGATAACTAATGAAGAATTACCTATCTTAGCATAAAAGCTTCGAGCTAACATTAGTGGCGCATAACATAGGCTTCAGATTATAGGTGACGAAATTCTTTGCTTACCATGGTGTCTGTATATTCGATGAGCTTGTCTTCAGATACCTCAGTAGACTTCTTTGCTTCTTTGAGAAGATCACGGAGAAAGGCCTGCGAGCGCGATAGAAATGAACAATCAGCGGAAAAGTTGTTAACTTTGCTCTATGAGTGAAATACTCATAACCTCTTAGGAGTCTTAGGGGCCATTTATCTTAATTGATAAGGAATTTTGTGTTTAGGTTACAGTGAAAATGTATAATATAAGAATAATAAATATCAAAAGAATTCAAATTAGCCAGTGCCGGTAACTGATCATGTGAATAAAACATAAGATTAAACAAATCGAGTTAATTTTACTTGAATAAGAATGATGCGGTTGTGTCTTCATCTGCCAAATAAGGCGAGGTCGACTGCAGCTGGGGGTGCGGAAGGGATGAGAGTGTCCTGTCGCTTCACCATCGGTCACTGCCATGTCTACGGGGCCCGGAACGAAACTAAAGCCGCACTTACAGTTCAACCGGATGGTAGTGGCCAACATCGAGTGGCGCCGGCATCTCAGACTTAACACATCTGCACATCACACACTGCTCACTGCACACTGCACAGCGCACACTGCACATGACACACTGCACATCACACGCTGCACACTGCACATCACACACTGCGCAGTGCGCATCACACACTGCACATCACACACTGCACACTGCACATCGCACACTGCACACTGCACAGCGAACACTGCACATCACATATAGCACACTGCACATCACACACTGCACACTGCACAGGTGATCTAGGAATAATCGACCAAACGAACATTACACATGAGATCGAGGGTAGAAGGGTTCAAGAACTGAACAGCTGCGCACAGTACCTTCAGTTCATCCGCTTCGATGTAGCCCGAGTTATCCTTGTCATACTGGCGCCATATCTGGAAGAAATTGACAGTACTTCACTGGCGGACAGTTTTTGTTGTTTTTTTTTATTTCAACAACTTCAGCATTAGCCATTACTACACTGTCATCGATACCGTGGTCTCCTTACGTATCTTTGCTATGTTGCATATTGTTATTATTATAGTAATATAAGTTTTATATATAGGAAAGAAAGGTGTTGATTATAACCTGCAGTAGTAAAAGTAAAACCGCCTTCGAATGAAGGGTTAACTCGCATAAGAAAATGTGTTTTGGGGGCTCCTCCGAAGACAGCACGCGCTATCAGGAACGCAAGCAAAATACCTCTGTTGATTTTTGTGTTGAACGTTATGTTATATCGTATTATCCACAACATCTCTAATAGGGCTGGATCTCTAAAAGCACCCTTCGCTATTCGGTTTTATCTTCTTTTTTATCTTTTTCCTCTCACTCCTTTTAAGTGCACCGAAGCTGTAGTTTTCGGAAAAAAATTATTGACGTCATGACAAAGCATTTCTTTCAACATGCAGAAATTGTCCAGTCATGTCGATTGTCGAGGCTAGCATAGGGTGTATGTATATTACAGGGAGGCGATTACATCAGGTCTTATTAGGAACACGGCCATCAGAGCGGGTCACACGACTAGGGGTGGTGTGGTTTATCGTCATGACTATCCGACAGGCTTGTTTGTTTGGTCAGTATATATGCAGCGCAACATTAGACGCCACGGCCCATAATGCACCGGCGACCCCCCCCCCCTTTGATAACAGGTCACAGCATGATACCAACCGACGCTGGTGGTCCCGCGGCTGAGGACACAAGTGGACTAATCGGTGGGCTTAGCCCGCTACGATAAGTGCTTCTTTTCACTTTGATTTGTAGAAAACGTTCAGTTTGGATTTTTTCCATGCAGAAAATGTGGATTGTATGACTTATTCATCCAATAAATTAAAGTAAATCAAACTAAATTTATTCGAAAGCCTCTAGAAAAAAAACAAACACATTAAATCGCCCACCTTCATGAACTCAACGCTGGACTCCAGGGGGTTATCGAAACGGAAGAGCAGAAGAAAGTTCTCCTCCATGGGCAGCAGCTGAGCCAGCTGCAAACAGGTCAACGTCAGGGTCAACTGGGAGACGTGTATCCTACCTATATACTGGCACATAGCTGATAGCCGTCTCGAGGAGATCTGAGGTCACAATAGCATAGGCAGTACAGGGGACAGTGAGTAGACAACATAGCCGGGATAGCATATAACTCAGCTGAGGATCGTGACGGCATATATGTAATTATATAGACGGCACAATAACTGTATAATTTACATTTGTATAACGATGACATCAATCGGGCTTTCAGGTGTATGCATGCAGTTCAGGTGCGTCTGTCCTTATGTTGCGTTAAACGTTTGAAAGTTTTAACAGCATAAGCGCCGTTAGCATTCCTTCCATTTCCTGTGGTCCGATTTATCGACCTCACCTCTCTGATCTCAATGCGTCCGTCCTGATTGTCGTCGTACGCCTCCATGAAACATTCCTTCAGTTCAGCCAGCATGGTGTCTGAGACCACCTGAAACAACCCACTGTCTGTCACAGGAGCTCCACTAAATATCACATGGTGGACTGACACGCCGGGTACCTTCCACTTTCCCTCCGAAACGAGCTGAGAGGTTGATGTGAAGACGTCATAGACGTGGTTTTGAGACGTGATAGACGTGACACGACGACATAAAAATGACGCATCAAAATGACTACGTTCATGCAACTTATACCTAGTGGAATACGTGAAAATAAAATTCAGGAGTGTCACCATTGCGCTTTTTCCATTGGAATAATTTACACGTCATTTTTGAAGGAGGCGCCTAGCCCCCTTCATGGTAGCACTGCACCCCGTTTTTTAGGACATTTACCCATGAGCACCCCTTTGAAGTATCTCCACATGTTTTACGTACCCACAGTCGCATTTGGGCGAGGTGAATGACTCAGCTCGTTAATTCTGTGAGTTCCCCTCCCCCACTCCACAAATGACTTCTCACCAGGCACCCGTTACAGACACGAACGCCCCTTCAGAGGGGCCATTTGTGTTTCAATGTTTACACTCATGAAAACCATGCCGACCTCCGAGCATGGTAGGCCCACTCGAATGTGAATGCTCCCTTGTTGGTACAGTGACCAAATTCAAGCTGGCGTGTTCTATGTTACATCGCACTTGGCACGTCAATGTTGATTAACCCTCGCTTGGCGGGGGAGGTTGATGCAACCTCCATAAGGTTTTTCGTACGTAGCGGAAATGGCGGCGCGTAGGGCCGCCAAATTTGGCATATCCTATGGAACATCCTTTAAGCACATTTTCTGAAAATTTCCAGCTTCAGTCCTGTCAAGCCAGGTCACCAGGTCCCGAAATTGGTACGTTGCCAGGTTAAAATTTAAATAATTTAGCAATATCAGAATAACACACACAGCCTTTTTGCAAATTGCGTAAACACGGTGGACGTAGCACCACTAAATTTCTGACAATCTTTAGGGCATCTATCTGACACATGTCTCGAGCATTTTTAGTCCCAGTGACCTCAGGTAAGGTCACCAGGTCACGAAAACCCGTAAATCGTCAAATTAAGACCGAAATCACACTTATTTCACGTGTTTTAGCGAATCTTTTTAATTTATTCTTCCAAAATTCCAAATATTGACCTGAACTCACCAAACTTGTACGGACGTGAGAACTTTAGCGGGTGGAACGTCCTCCCGTGGCCGTCTGCGTTATGAAAAAGACACTGGCCGGGCGAGGGTTATTAAAGCAGATATAAAATTAATGACGGGTGATGAAATTTTAGATGTAGATAAGTGGTATTTGAAAACCACATTAAAAAATTGAAATGAGTTATCATGCTGCGCGTTTCGTTGAAATGTAGGTAGACGAATGTCACATATTTCAAACACGTCATTGTGTGATACTATTTAATTAAATTAAATAAAAGACGACAGCGGCGCAGTGTACGGCGCTATTTTCCATGGGTGTGACTGTGGACTGACCTCCGGTCCGCAGTCGGTGGCGTTGACGCTGGATACAAACTCTCGCAGAAAGCCATCCAGTTCGGTGCCCTCGATGAAACCGTTTCCTGAAACCAGATACTTTTATAAATTGCTGCCCTTGCTGCATTGATGCTCGATAAGAACGTGTTCGAGTTATGTAAAAGAGCTTGACTGTTAACCAATTCGTCAACATTAAGACGTCAATCAGAATCATTAGCTCACGCCCTGCTGGGAAAGGGGTGTTTGAACACCCCCTTGCATTTTTCGCAGATATATCAAAAATGGCGGGGTGGAACGCCGCCGTTTTTGACACACCTTATCAGACATCTTTTTGTGCACATGTGACAATTTCCGACTAAGGTCTCTCAAAATCAGGTCACCAGGTTACGTCAAGTGACCTCACCTAAAAAAAGTTTCAATACTTGCCATAGCTACACCGAGTGACGGATCACTTGAAAACGTTCAGCAATTGATAAGAGCAGCATTATGTGCGAAATTTATGCCTCGGAATTTTAATGTCGGTCACCTAAGATCATATCAATTTTGAGTCCTCCCATGATAGGCAAGTACCTAAATGGGAGAAAATTGAAGGGCGCCGCTTTTCGACGAACGTCGTCCCAAGCACTCAAAGGCTGAATTACAAGTAAACATGACACACTGAAACGGAAAATTTCACCCGTGACCCCTTTTTATGTCCCTGAGGTCATCTCGGGTCACAAATGGCACTACAGTTTTTCGCTAATAACTTTTGAAAGAGGCATGTAACACCATAGACGCGCTCGACTCGACGATACGGATCGACTGATCTGTAACTTGACCTTTTCCTGTCAGGTCATGACCTTGATCTGAGGTCAAAATTTAAAGTTGACCTATCAAGGTCAATTCATAGTTAATTCGATGCATCTCGACGAGAGGAACACGAAGCTGCTAAAAGTAAGCTCGTGCAAGTTTTGAATGAAAAGTTATTGCAGAAGCACTGTTTCCGTAAGAAGTTTATTTTGGCAGTTTTTGCTCCCCGCAGGCTAAACCGTTGACCTTAGGTCAAAGAGCGTTAAAAAGGCGTTATCGAATGCGCTTTTCCGCGACGCTGTAGCTCCATCCTTTGCTAAGCTTGACTAAGTTTGACCTGGAAATTGGCGAAATTCTGCCTCCGATGATCTCCGGTGACCTGAACTTTGAACTCACCTAAAATGTGACCGAAGTAATTTCTTTATTATTTTCTATTCCCTTTCGAACACCGTCTACAGAATGTCGCTACGTGGCCTAGGAGCCGAATTACAAGGGGGCGGGTACTCAAACACACACCCCTAGCAGGGCGTGGAAATCCAGGAGCCACAGCGGGGCGCCGGTTAATTAAAAATGAACGGTATACCTATATGGGTCTTAAAAAGCACAAATAAATAAATAAATCAGCCGAATTATCAGCCGAATGAATGAAGGATTAGACGATGACCTGACCCCAGTTCCTCTCGAGGCTTGATAAGCACGGCGAAGGTGCAGCGTGGAGGCTGCACCCTGCAGCGTGCAGTCTCAACGGCAGTGCGGCGCGTGGACGCGACGAACAGCCCCGGGCATACCGCCTGGTTCACCACACCTTTGAGGTCCTTGAGGCTCCTTGTGTTCCGTTAGGCATGTTAATGAAGGCAGCGCCCAAGCAGCCCCACAAGAATACCGATCGGGATCGATGAAGTCTAGAGAATTAATCCTTCGCGTTGAACCGCCTGTCGCAAGCGTTTCTGCAGAGCGCAAGCCCACCACAGCCAACATCGGGTATCTTAGGTGTTATAGCACTGTCCTGCGGGAAGTATTGGCACTTTTAAACACTTTCGATTCGATCTCCAGCCTGTTGTCGATGACCCTGTGAAGTTTCACCGTCTCCGTCCGATATCTCTGAGCGCCGCCGCCGCCGCCGCGCCGTCTTCAAAGAAGTGAAGACCCAGTGACCAGCTCCCCCGGGCCTCCACCGTGATTAGAATATAATGTTTTCTCTGCTCACTTTGCTAGCATCGCTTTGATAAATCGAGAGGCTTCCATCGTCTTACCGAAATTGGTTCGCAAAAATAAAATCACGGTTTCGTTTGCACTTGCTCAGAAACAACGTACGGAATGGTCTTCGAAGATTGCTATGGGATTTCGTCATTATCTGGCATATCGCAGCGGAAACTTTTTACAATCATGTGCGTACTACGGCGGCGGCACCCTTCTTCCTGACGAGGGTTGCTGCTGAGAAATTGCTGAAAAGCATCCTTCTCAGAAATGGTGTTTACCGAGGCACTTCAGATGTGCGTGTGACTTAGGGGAGAGTACCCTAATTGCGCCCGCGAGATAAATGCGTCCTCCCAAGCTCCAGAAATATTGGCACACCATAAGTACCTAGTGGTGGTTGCAAAAGTTGCCCACCTCGATCATACTTCCTTTTCCGGTGGAACCTTGGCAGAGGTAAGGCAGCATGAGCTAAAGTAACGATTTTGTTTGAATGTTGGGGTTTCTTAGCGAAAAAACATTCTTCAAAGCTGTAAAATAAGGTTTAGTGAATGGTTAGACACATGTGCTGCTAATTTTTCGGACAGATGGTTAATTTTGAATGATTTGAGCACCTCCATGCAAGAGATTGTGGCTGCGGTGAATAGGGACGCCATGTTCTGTCACACCACTACGTTTTTTCAAATGCGACCGGGGTAAATGCGCCACACCCGGGCTACTATGTTCATGAAATGGGTAACATTAATAATGATGGCTAATATTCGAAAGGCGTAGGCAGATGACAAAACCACAAACATTTTGAGGTCACTGTGCACTTCTAATAAAATTTATAAAAACAGATGGTAAATTAATGAACTAATGACACATCATACAACGCCTTACCTACTTATAACTCTTATCTTTACAGCCCATAGCTAATGCATGTATTTGTGGTGGGTGCATTTGAATTCAATTGCGCCATGGTGTGACCGCATTTTTCGAATTGCATTCGACAAAAAAAAAAGACCGTGTCTGGCTAATGAGTTGAAGTATGCGATAAATTAGTGTCTAAAAAAGGTAGGAAAAAGGTTTCTAAATATAATGTGAAAACAACTAACCTGTGCTGTCTTTGTATTCCAAGCTGAAGCCAGTTTCGCTTAACCCTATTAGTGGCAGGGGGGTTGTTTTTATCCACCCCTCAGGTTTTTTTCGGAAATATCTCCGAAACCACTAAAGCTACGATGCTGAAATTTTCTGACTTTTCCTAAAACTAAATTGGGCACATTCCCTGCAAATTTCAAGTTCATACCTTTACCAGGGGCGGCTCCAGAGCACTGGGAATTGGGGGGTCCTATTCGTGAAGCGAGTCATTTGGGGCGAAGATCACGATGCTGATGTATTATAACTGTATACACCAGTTTTACGAACATTGAATGAAAGGTATCATGTGATAACATATACAAAGTTATTGTGCATCCTCTTTTGACACGTTTTTGCTATAATAGGCGGATCCAGGCGTCCAAAAAGGGGGGTTATGTTTTACCTCCCAACATAGGTGCCCTGACACCGCCTATGCATGACCAATACAATTGTAGTCGTTTTCTCATGAGAAAATTGTAACATAACAAGACCATTGCCACCCTTTTTAGAAACAGTACCAACAAAAACCTTATTTACTATACTTTTTGTATACCCCCAATCTCAATGATCTGTATCCGCCTATGATTTTTGAAAATGCATATTTTTAGGATCCATGTGAATTCCTGGTTCATTCTCTATCGATCGGCAAAAGTTGCGTTAAGATTGGTTCAGAAACCTGGCCGTGATAAACAGTCTAAAATGTATCTGCAATTTGCCCGTTTTTACCCCCCTCTACCCCCCCCCCCCCCCTATTGACATTTTTTAATTTTTATTTTTTAGAAATGTAGATCACGTTGAGCGAAATCGAATGCCGTTTGAATTTTGAAAATCGGCCCGTTAGATCTCGAGATATCAAGGGGGGGTCGTAAACAGCCCCCCCCCCCCTGCCACTATATATACCTAGGGGTAGCCAGGAGCCTGCCACTAATAGGGTTAACGTGGCGCAATATGGCCACTCTCCCCTTATACTGTCCATAGAACTTGTTGCTTTGAAAATATTGGAATAAGCACAAACCTGCGATTCACTTTGGGGAAAGTCACTATTTCGTATAAGTGCATTACGTAAAAAAAACTACCAGGCTTCAGCATTTTTGGTCTAACAATGGATATAGGATGCATGAGTATACCTGTATGTTAGTACCTATAGATTATCAGAAAGTTCGATCAGAATCGCAAATGACCCGATGATTTCTCGAATAGTTGTAACACAGGATCATATCGTGCAGGGTAGCTGGCCAGCTTACCGTCAGCGTCATAGTGGCTCCACACCTCCATGAACTGGTTGGCCGTCAGCTTCTTCAGTTGCCGGCTCTCGGCGTCACGGAACTGGCGCATGAAGTTGTTGGCCTTGTCCAGCTTCACCCTGCTGGAGGGACTGGCGGTGGCGGCCTGGGTGCTCATTCTGCAACAGCGCAGTGCAGGGCCTTATTGCACCATCTAAATACTCCATCTGATAGGTCACGGGTTGCGAGCCAATTAATAAAAGGAAATGCTAAAATTGAGTTAAAATTCATGAACGTGACCTTATATATTTTTTTGTTTAGTGATATGACCTGAAACGACCGAGTTACTTTCACTATTATCTTTTACAACGTTTTGAACGTCGTTCACTTATTGCCGCTATCGTACACTGTAAACCAAATCTACAAGTTGGCTCCTTGTTACAAGTTTGGTTCCAATTCGCATAGGCGTCACCTTGTCGATTCACCAGCCCCAGGCTTGTTGGCTAACAAACTAACAGTTTGTCTACAAGTTTGGTTCCAATTCGCATAGGCGTCACCTTGTCGATTCACCAGCCCCAGGCTTGTTGGCCAACAAACTAACAGTTTGTCTACAAGTTTGGTTCCAATTCGCATAGGCGTCACCTTGTCGATTCACCAACCCCAGGCGTGTTGGCCAACAAACTAACAGTTTGTCTACAAGTTTGGTTCCAATTCGCATAGGCGTCACCTTGTTGAGTACTAGTCTGGGCCTTGTGAACCTACCAACTTCTGGATAGGCATAGCCGTTTCCTTGTCGGTTCAACAACCCCTGGTTTGTTGATGAACTAGCCTTTGACTGGACATTGCTAGTTTACAAATTGTCAACAAGTAAGTGTACTAACGCTCAGTTCGAACTTGTTCTTTCTTACAATCGCTTTGTTTGCGTTGATAACCTTAAGAACTTACGATTCGCGTTCGTTTTCAATTGCCACGATACTGATTCAGGAAATATTTTCTATACGGACAGGTCATTTTTTGGCTGGAAGTGGTGCACAAAATCATGACTGGCATCAGTTATTGCTCAAAGGCTTGCGCTGACAAGAAACGAAATACTGATGGGTTATATAATCGATGAATGTGTAATGGGTTCGATATTGACTTGCATCCCCGTAGTAAGATGCATGTGAGAAAATAGGCCGCGTGATGCTAAAGAAAATGAATGCGGCTGGTGATCTCGTGGAAAATGGAGTTTGAGATTCTGGAATATATAACGATCGTGTAAAAAGCATTTTACATGACTATGATAATTTAACGAACGATTAAGCATAAATACCGACTCGAGACGAACCCACTTCAGTGGTGGCAGCGGTGGGATACTCTCTCAAGATGTCCGAGCTCCCGACGATTCCACCGTTCAGCTTTGGGACTGTCCAGCAGTGGAAAAACTGGCTGGAAGACTACTGCGTATATGGACGCCTGAAGAAATGGAATGCCGAGAAACTTGTAACGAATTTACGCTTCTTCGTATCTGGTGAGGTGAAGGATTGTGTGCGCCAAGCCGCCGCCATCTCCGCGCCCGTCACACTCGAATCCGTTTCCGATGACGTCGTGAAACTGTTAGGAGGGACACCGGACCCTCTGGTAGCGACACGCCAGCTCGAGGCTGTGTGCTACAATGGTAATGTGGGACGTACCCTGTTAGCCCTCGGGGAGCTGATCCCGCTGGCTTACCCCACCATCACCGACAAGGTGCACAAGGACCAGATGACCTGGATTCACCTCCAGCGGCTTCTCCCCGCTGTGTACCAGCGTGACCTCATCAAGGACGGTGCTGACAATCTGGAGAAAGCTGTGGAACGCATCCGAGCCTTCGAACGAGCCGACCTGTCGGTGAGGCCGGAGCCGCTCGGGGTGCATCGAGCCCAGAGCAGCACCGCCGACACATCTGCACGACAGGAAACCGCAAGCCCGTCTGTCACCTGTTACGTCTGTGGTCTGACGGGTCACACACGCAACGTCTGCTCATTCCGCAGCGATATTTGCGGCCGGTGTGAGAAGCGAGGCCATCTCAGCACGGTTTGCCGAGGACCGGCCATGCAACCCCGTGTCCGCGGCCGTCTTCGTGGGCGCTTGGGAAACGGCCGTCAGTCTGTCCCGAGGGGCCCGAGGCAGACTGCAACCAGATCAGCGACCGTGGCCCCTCTGTCATGGCCCGATGTCGGCGACAGGACGCCAATGTCGATGCAGCAGCAGCTTCAGCAGCAGCAGCGGCTGCTGCAGCCGTCACCGCCGCAGTGGATGCCGCCTCCGCCGCAACTCGCACCGCCGCCGCGGCCAGAGCCGCTGCCGACTCAGCAGCCGCAGCCGCCGCCGCCGCCGCAACAGCAGCAGTAAGGCACACCACGACAACAGCTCCGGAGGCGAAAACACCGTTACCAGGTCGGTACATTCACATATCCGTCAATGGTCGAGATTGTCTCTCCTTGTGCGATACCGGTGCCGATAATACCGTAATTCGACGAGAGCTGTTGGCCGATGACGCTCATCTTTTGCCCCCGGAACGACCAGTGAAGCTGGCTAATAATGAACTCTGCCCCGGGATAATCGGCCGTGCATATGTGGACATTCAGCTGGGATTGTTTACACAACGCACATGTGTGTATGTGGCCACGACCCTGTGCGAGCCCTGTCTGCTCGGTGCAGATATCCTGACAGCTTCTCGGGCCATTATAGACGTTTATAACGGGACAATGACCGTACAGGGGCAGACGGTACCTATGGTGGCTCGACCACGATCCGGGGACCAGGGACATCTCCAGTGGCGGCGAACAGGGGCTGTGATAATTGGTCGCACGATTGTGGTGCCGGCCAGCAGCGAGATGATTTTGTCCGCTAACGTATCTGTACAAAAATGCGACCGAGTTACCGAGCCTACTCACACACTGTGCTGTAAAGGTGAGTGTGACAGTGAGCGGGGGCTGACCGGTATGGTGGAGCGTGCCGCAGAATTCGCGGACACAACGGATCTGTGTGTGGCACGTTTAGCCGTCACTGTGAAACAGAATACTGTACCCGTCAGGCTCAGCAATCTGTCAGACAAACCCGTCACGCTGTACAAGGGAACAAAAATCGCAGATTTTGAGTCACTGGACGAGAGCGAGTTCTGTGATGGGGCAGTCGCCGAATCAGAGTTTCGTCCGGACCAAGCTGTGGCACACCTGGAGGAGCCATCAAAGTCAGAGTTCTCGGCCCTGCTCACAAAGTACCGGGAGGTCTTCACCGGACTGGGACGCACCCATGTCGCCGAACACAAAATTCTGACCGGCGACCACCCACCCGTTTTTCAGGGTCCTCGACCTGTACCAGGTCATCTAGCTGGGGAGGTCAAATCACAGCTCGACGATTTGGTGGCTAAAGGGGTGCTGGAGCCAGTATCTGAGTCCGAGTGGGCTTCTCCGCTGGTTCTGGTTAAACGCGCGAATGGGGGTCAAATCCGAATTTGTGGAGACTTCCGACGATTGAACAGCATAACAACCCCCTCGGTCCAGGTTATACCCCGTATGGACACGTGTCTACAAAGACTCGCCGGCGCAGTATACTTTACATCACTGGATTTGAAAAGTGCCTATCACCAGCTTCCAGTGGCTGATCAGGACCGAGCTAAAACCACTATCGCGACGGAGTTTGGCCTTTTTCGGTATACCACAGCTCCGTACGGAATTCAGGGCATTCCACATTCCTTCAATCGGGCGCTCAGGCTAGTGCTGTCTGATGTACCTCCGGAGACGGCCATTCAGTATTTTGATGACGTCATGATTGTGGCAAAATCCTTGGATGAGATGCACACCAATTTGGAAGCGGTCCTCGCAGCACTGCAGAGGTCCGGCCTGACGGTGTCGCTGAAGAAGCTACAGCTGTGCCAGAAAGAGGTCAGTTTTCTGGGTTTCAGGGTCAGTGCGGCTGGAGTGCAATGTGATCCTGAGAAGATCAGGGATATTCAGCAGTGGCCCGCTCCGACCAATCCTAAACAGGTCAGAGTGTTTCTGGGCTTGTGCGGCTACTTGCGTCGTCACATCTGTGGATACGCAGCACTGGCTAAGCCACTGACAAAACTGACAGAGAAACACCGCCGCTTTAGCTGGGGACCAGAGGAGCAGGCGGCGTTTGATCGGCTGAAAGCAGCGCTGGTGTCTCCTCCAGTCCTCGCACTGCCGGTGTTCAGTGACGAGTCGCCCCCATTCACCCTCGATGTGGATGCCAGCGGGTCTGCCCTCGGAGGATGCCTGATGCAGGGTGACAGAGTGATTGCCTATGCCAGCCGTGCTCTGACGAAAGCTGAGCGGCAATATAGCGTCACTAAACGCGAGCTACTGGCCGTAGTCTGGGCAACCAGCCACTTCCGCCAATACCTTCTCGGCCGTCGGTTCCTTTTGCGAACTGACCATTCCGCCTTACAATGGCTGTTCAACATGAAGGACCCCACGGGACAGCTGGCTCGCTGGGTGCTGCAGCTGTCAGAGATGGAGTTCGATATCGTGCACCGCCGTGGCGCTCTGCACAATGACGCCGACGCGCTGTCGCGGTATCCGCACACAGCGGCCGATCCAGAGCAGCGCTATCGGTGGGTCTGTGTCCCGGTCGCAGATGACCAACTGAATGACGACACACTTGAATCTGCGGCTACAGCGCAAGCTGGCAGCGATGACAGTCATTCCCAGGTGCGGGAGGTGCCAGCCCCGGTTTCCACAGCGGCTGCTGTGTCCACGGCAGGCACAAGTGCCAGTGTGACCCCTGTCACCATGTCCGAATTCCAGAGAGAACAAGACCGAGATGAGGGCATTCGAGAGATGCTGGTGTGGAAAAAACGAAAGCAAAAGCCGAGGACCGGCCAGCTGCGCTCGCCGCAAGCTGTTCAGCTTCTGAGAGAGTGGAAGCGTCTGGTAGTTAAAGGTCCGGTTCTCTACAGGCGGGTGCAGCCTCTCAGAGACGCGCCTTTGTGCTTGCAGATCGTCGTGCCGCAGCATTTACGACACGATCTGATGGAGTCCCAGCACAGCGGTCTCGGGGGTGGACACCAGGGAGCCGCGAAGCTGGAAAGCGCGCTCCGTCGCCAGTTCTTTTGGCCCGGCATGCAAGCTGACGTGAAGACGTTCTGTCAGCAGTGTGTCATCTGTGCGCGCCGAAAGGACCCTCCGCACCCACCGAAGGCTCCGCTCGGGTCTCTGCAGGCGGCAGAGTTCTTCGACCGGCTGGATATTGACATAATCTCAGGATTGCCTACCAGTGAACCACATGGGTACAAATACGTCCTGACGTGCATCGATGCCTTCACACGTTTTGTTTGGGCGTTTCCACTGAAAACGCAGGAGGCGTCAGAGATAGTCGAAGTGCTGATGGATCGGGTCGTGGGATCTTTTGGTGTGCCCAAAACAATCCATTCTGATCAGGGTAAGAACCTGGTAGGAAATGTCACAAAAATGTTCTATGAACGACTGGGCATAACACAAAGCACCACGACGGCCTACCATCCTCAAGGAAACGGCTACTGTGAGCGCAGCCATCGATTTCTGATGGATACGGTGGCTAAGCTGACCGCAGAGGAACAACGGCAGTGGCCTCGCTTCCTCAGCGCCGCGGTGCTGGCTTTCAACGCCAATACCAACGCTGCCACTGGCCTATCGCCGTACGAGTGTGTGTTTGGCCGACCTGCGCCACTGCCAACCGCACTGCGTTATCGCGCCGTCATTGATGGTGGTGGCGACTCGCAAGGCCAGCGAGTACCCCGAGACACTCTGGAGTATGTGATGGGTCTACAGCGTACCCTCACGCGCACAGATCAGCAGCTGCACGCAGCTAGCGTTGCCGCGCACGATAAAAATAAGATCAAACACGACGCTCGCCTCGTCGAGCATACGTACGCCCCGGGTGACCTCGTATGGCTGCGTCAGAATTCAGTTAAGGCAGGAGAAGCGAGAAAGCTCTCTTCCCGATGGACCGGACCGTACAGAGTGGTGGAAAAACGACGGAACTGGACGTACAGGATAGTGCGTGAGGAGGGCGTGACGCAAATGACGGTGCACCATAATCGACTTAAGCCGTGCCATGCGCGCCGTCCAGAGCATCCCCACGGGGCTACCCCGGTTTACCCAACCCGGGTGTTTTGCCGCAGTCAGCCTCCGGTTACTCAGCGACAGGATCCAGCACCCCAGTGTCACCTCAGAGGGAACGGCCGTGCCTTGACTGGCGACCAGACCGTGAACGATCCCGCGTCCCATGAGGGACCTACTAGTGAGTGAGCACGGCCGACATATAAACCCATCCCGGCAGCAGACAATTGGGAGGCCAACTCCAGGGGTGTCACATCTGTCACGAACTCGGTCAGGCCGCTTGATTCGGCAACCAGACAGGCTTTAGTGGCCACTTGTGCCTGTCATACGCCGCACAGACAAGTGATGGCCCTATGCCACGTTAGTTTGCCTCTGTTTGTGTACGAGTATGCTATGTGTGTTCTGTGTATGACATTTTTCTTGTCTCAAGCCATTTTTGTTTCCGGGACGGAAACTTTTGTCCGTGGGGGATAATGTAATGGGTTCGATATTGACTTGCATCCCCGTAGTAAGATGCATGTGAGAAAATAGGCCGCGTGATGCTAAAGAAAATGAATGCGGCTGGTGATCTCGTGGAAAATGGAGTTTGAGATTCTGGAATATATAACGATCGTGTAAAAAGCATTTTACATGACTATGATAATTTAACGAACGATTAAGCATAAATACCGACTCGAGACGAACCCACTTCAAATGCATACACCACATCCATTCGGAAGTTTCTGGAATCATTAGTATTTATTACGGTCACGTACCTACATCACGTAGTATGTAATTAATACTATTGACTGGAGACAATTCCAAGTGCATATTTTCGAATGGATGTGGTAAATGCATGAGGTATAAGGTATACCTATCGTGCACCGTCAGCATATAAGTCTTTGAAGCAAGAACTGCTGCGTATGTGGAAGAACATGGTTTTGTGCATCGCATCAAGCCAGAAGTATAACATGCCCGTATGACGAATATTTCCACATTGACCATAACAATCATGGCAGTTGCACGATCACGCAGATAATTCGAATAAAGCATGATCGCCAACCAGATTAGCTTTTACAGCCCATATATGTCCATCAGTTAAGTTAAAAATACAAAGAGTTGAATTAAAGGCAAATAAATGTATTTATATATAAAAAACACCGACCGCAAAACATCTGCTCACATGTGCATGCAAAGGTCTGGCCCACTTACATTGCGCGCGCAGGGGAAGGGAGGCGTCTCGACCGCGGGTATAGGCACGATTAGTGCGTCCCGCAGGCCAGAGCGGGCCTCACTCACAGCACGAACAGCACAGTTCACAGATTTCACTTTTTACTGCACAAATGCTGGAACAGCCCTCGTCGCTGATCCATGCTGCACGGCGGCCGCGCGACAACTGCTGGTTTGAACGGTTTGAAACCGCCGCGCCGGGGCCGGACGGCGACCGCTGATTGGTCCGCCAAGTCTGACGTCACGGGCGCAGCTGACCATGTGTATGCTGACCAGCTGACCAGTACAAGTTAGGCGCCGGTTAAATAACCATGCGGCAACAAGTTTCCAAAACTGGTTAAGAAACAAACGTTGAAACAAATGTAGAGTTGGTCTGGATACTGAGAAGTTGGTGTGCATAGTAACTATTGACTCGTAGTTGTCACCTGACAAGCAATGCACCAGACAACGGCTTGTTTGAAAAGTATCAGTTGGTAAACATACCAAGAGATGATTGGTTATATTACACAAGACTTGTCAATTTGGTTTACAGTGTAGTCCAGAACTGGAGTTAGATGAGGTGTATACACCTCATCTAACTCCAGTTCTGGACACGCCCCAGTTATCGTCACTCAGCTTTGCAGCAACATCTCTGAAATGAACTACTGCTTTTATTATGTGCATTGCGCATATTGTAAGCAACGTTGACAATAGCCGAAAGAAAGCGTTTCGACACATTCACAGTGTGCTGCGCTCTGAAGAAGGTTCAATTTAATAAAAAGTCCAGATTCTCCTCCCTTGTGATCAGTGTCACGCTCGTGTCGCTAGAATGATTCCTGAGCACCAAAATTTATCCCAAGAATGTAAAATATTTGCTTTGGCCGGGTCGTTCCTTAGCCAGTGACTGGCGCAAGGACCCGATAAACTCTACAGCGACAGCATAATAGACTTATGATAAATATGTCCTCGATTGTTATGCATTTAAACTGTTAATCATCACTAGCATTTGTTAATTTGGTAATTTTATATTGAATAAATATTATATTAATAATTTTTTGAATCTAATTCACATCGTTCCCTTTATAATGTAATATGTATGTAATGTTCATGATTGACACTATCGTTGATACTCTTATACGCCTTTTGAGCTACAAAGATACGAATGAAAAATGTGACGCGGTTGATGGAGATAGAGAAAAGTTACGAAAAACACCAGCATCAAACCACTGTCACATAACAAGCACTGTGGGAGTCTGACAGCCATCACTTGTTGGAGGCTGGATGGCCTGAATGAAACGAGCGGCCTTTATTTACCAATACGGCATTGGGTGGGCCGGCTCCGCACGCTATCAGCGGACCATAACGCGTGATCGACGACAAAGGGGCGCGGTCGTTTGGCGGCAAAGTGTTTTTGCTCCCCAGTAGTCGGAGGGCGTCGCCCACAGTTGTCTAAATTGAGCTAGAAAGTTGGAGATACATTCATTTACATTTTAGGTTACACACTACACATTAATTTCTTCGCATTCACTTTTTGAGGATGCAGTTGTAAACGCAAACATGGCCGTCGCATTGGTGAGCCAGCGGCAGTGCATTGGGATACCTACTGTCTTCTCTGTTTCCACCCATGCTTCTGATAGTGTGTTTTGTTTTGTCAAATAGCTCCTTAAAGGGACAGTATCACCATTTTGATGAAATTTGACATTGCATAGGCCCCACCTTTCTGGTCCGGGAACTGAAGACCGATCCTCGAAGCTCCACACCGTTATCCCGCTATCGCCGCTCAAAGTACGAAAGGTGTACTACACTTTGAATCGTGCTTCACTATCTTCACTGTTTAAATGTTTGCGCCGTTTTGAATTGACCGCCAGTAATAAAACTTTTACCCTGGTCATTTCATCAAATTTTATAAAGCCAAAACGTTTTTCGCACTTATTCATCACCGTTAAATTCATTAAATAGTCGTAGGCAATTTCCGCTGTTTCCTTCGGATTCTAGCGGCTCAACAAAGTAATTCCTCCAGCTTGAATCACAATCTCCCTCCAATGTATGACGCTTATCACGTGATTGTCACGTGATATTTTATCCCATTGTCAATTGTCACGTCCAATTGTCACTCCCTCCAATTGTCACGTGATATTTTTATAGGCAATACCTAAGGCTACCTCTCCCTAAGGACAACTCAATCAGAAGAACGACCGCGTAAGCGTAGCGTCAATAATGCATTATCTGCGCCAGTTCTGTAGTAACTTTGCATGCTTCCAAACTGGCGGCCATGCTTGTATAGTGGTGGTTCGCTCATGAAAATGAATCATGAAAATGAAATGTGGTTGCAATATTTTTCACCAAGTTCGGTCCTCAAACTATGTTTTTCTGATTCAGAAAAATAAGAAATGCTAGTAAAAAAAAAAATCAGCTCCATACATTGATTTTTTTTTCGATGATACTGTCCCTTTAAACTTCTTGAAAGATCATGGACTCCAAAAACGATTGTCAACTTGAGTTACATGGAAAATCTGACGTCTTTAGCACCCAACGACATGCCTTAAATGCGTAGGTAAACTGTCATCCTCCAGAGATCCTCTTGCACCCGAAACGCTTTGGAAAGGACCACCGTCAATGTTTGCTCGTAAGATCTACGCTTGAATTTTTCATTACAGCAACATGACATCCAGATTATCGCTCGCAAAGTGCAGGCCGAAATTAGTGTCGGCGGTCAGATTAGGGCTATTTGCCGAGTGTGTCCGCGTGCACAGGTGTCTGGTCTGGCCCGCTCAGCAGTGACGGAAGTGCTACTGACCCACCTGAGTCGGCTGGATGGCGGCTGGCTGGTGGTCGGTGCCACACTAGCGTCGCGCGGCGTCCGCACAGCCGGCGCCGCGGCCGCCCGCCCTCCGCCCGTATTGATCGGCCCACCGGCCGTATTGCAGTGCGGTGCGCTGCCGACGCCGCCCCCCCCTCACCACCCATAGCCCCCCCCCCTCCCAGGCGGCACACAGGTGGTCCGGTGACACAGTCCGACAGCTCACGGAACCCCTCTCCGGTCTAACACATCACGGAAGGCCTCTTCAGACGGCTCACGGAGAGCTCACGGAAACCCCTCTCCTTTCCGACACATGACGGAAGGCCTCCCTGCAGGCAGCTTACGGAGAGCTCACGGAAATTCCTCCCCGGCCTGATAGATCACGAGGACCCCCCTCCAGGTAGCTTACGAAGAGCTCAGGGAAACTCTGCTACGGCCTGATGGATCACGAGAGCCCCTCTCCAGGTAGCTTAGGAAGAGCTCACGGAAACCCCTCCCCAGACGGCCCACGAAACCCCCTGGATTACGAAGAGCTCACGAAAACCCCTCTCCAGACGGATCACGAAAAGTCCTCTCCAGTTAGACAGCTCACGGAAGCCCCTGTCCGTCGCCGTGCCTAAAAGAAAGGCCTCTTCGGTCCGTCAGCCCATTGTGTCTGTGATATATGCTAATGTTTCTCGCGCTAACGCAATGATAAAATCACAAGCATCTCTTTAGTCCTTCCTCTTGTTTTTGTCATCTTCCCTTCTTTTTGCCGCATAAGCTACAAAGATATACCCAAGGAATATTTCATATATATGATATGCAGACCATAGTGCAAGTTATTTTTCTAATTGAAAAAAATTACGATCGTACGAAATGTTCGTGATGTTTTGAAAACAAAGCAAAAATGTTCAGAATGATACCGATATTTCATTAGCATATCTTTTTGTCATTTGTGCTTTGTTTTTGTCCACTTGTCCAGGGACCTCAACAGAAACGTTTAGCATGCCCTCACACATTAGCTACCTACTGCGCAGCATTATTGCGACACTGGTAGACATTGCTCAGAATCACTCAACATACCAACTGACACAGCACACATTCAACACTAGAACTCGCACCACCATTTTCCATTCTTCCCAGTCGCTGTCTTTTTCCCTCCTTTCAGTGTCCCATAAGTCCCATGTCTTTTTCAAGATGGCCGCATGAACCGGCGCGGACGACCACTGAGTGTCAGGCGGTTAATTTGCCCCGACGGTCGGCGCTGAATTGTGGCCGGCGTCGGCAGGGCGGCGAGGCGCGTCCCCCGTCGTCAGGTTGTTGAACTGCGGTCTGATGTTTTTGTTGTCCGTCCGGCGCCGCCACTCCGTCTCCGCTGCGGACGTCTCGTGTTTCGGGTGGGAAGAGATATAGTGCGGGATGATCAGTTTACAGTGCAGGCGAGAGATTCTGTCGGGAGGTATTCCACTAAGGAGGGGGCCCTGGGTCAAGCTGATTGGTCGACTCGTCTCCGTATTCACTTGTTTAGTGAGTGGAGGAGAAAGCTGAAATCATTTCCGAGCGATGGACATTACCTTTAAGCTTCATAACTATACTTCTTACACATTTAATGTCCAACATTGGGCCGGCATAACATTGCCAGGTTTCTGAAGTCGCGATAGGCGGTCCCACCCACCGCCCAACTCCAGCACTCCGCGCCCTATCCGTCGCCGGTCGGCTCTGTGCGCCTGCCTGCCTGTGCGGGCCGTCGGGCGCGTGCGGGCCGTCGGGCGCCAGCCCGGCGCGACGGTCCGCCGAGGTCGGCCATTCGGAATGTGGCGCCCGATGATGGATTGGAGATTTAGCGAGCGCACAAGCTAGAGAGGTTATTCCGCCGGGAGCTGCACGGGTCTGAGGGGAGGCAATACGCGGATGGACAGCAGCGATAAGTCTGTATTGAAGGCGACCGATGTCATAAGCCGTACAAAATAATGGATGTGAGAATATGGCGCCGACATAGACTCAAAATCGCTCAGTTTATATGGTGAAATTGTTATCGCTTGCAGTGTTGCTATTTTTTGCAACTGACCCGGAAACGTCCATGTTCCGACTTCAGTCCAGGCACGGCTATTTCCTCGTATATAGTGCTACCACATGTGTAACTAAGCGACATTACGAGTCGGACGTGCAGAGTCACTCGCCAGTGTAACAACATTATGATAAGGAAAATAGCATTATACCGGGTGGCCCAGAAAAAAAACGTTCCCAACTTTGAATCAATATTTCTCAGAAAGTGATAAAGATGCAGCACAGACACTTCCAATCGTCAATGCGGTATATATTTTCAGTGAATGGTATTATTTTTATGTTATTCGATCAATTGCTTTTTAAACGGTTCATGTTTCTAGCATGCCATGTAAAAATTACTTCTTTGCTCAGATGTTTACTAAAAAATGTGAGTGAACGGGCCACTTCCATCTCGGCACCACGGCCTGCAGCCATGACTGCTACTGGCAACTAGTCTCTTTGATGGTTCAGGCCTCAGAGTGACACATTTCGTCTAGCTTTTTTCTTTATTCGGTCGATTTACTGTTTGATCTTCTTGAAGGGAGGGCGATGAGCAGTAACCCATGCACCGTGCCACTCCTTCTGCTCGAAACAGGACTTAGCGTTGAAACGAATGGCATCCCTTAACACCATTTTGCCTCACTATTTGAATATTTGGCACATGAGTGGGATAAAAAAAATATTTACAATGATTTTTTTTTTTGACATATTCTTACATATAATATAAGCAGGCCGAACCCTGCTTGTACGCATCTTCCGGTAACCCACAACACAAATCACAACACATCGGACACAGCTGACGTCAAGTCATAAACTTCTCCACATCCACCACACCCGTCGCGTCGCCACAGGCTGCGCCTCACCCTCTCAACCCCACACACAAAGAACGGCCAATCTCGCACGAGCCAACGCAGCTAAAGATTGTCAAAAAAAAAAGCACAAAAAGGCACAACATCGCCATCGCAGCCGCAGCAGCGGACGGACCAAGCAGCGGCAGCAGCAGCCGCAGCAGCAGCAGCAGCAGCAGCAGCAGCAGCGGCAGCAGCGGCAGCAGCAGCGGCGGCAGCAGCAGCAGCAGCAGCAGCAGCAGCAGCAGCAGCAGCAGCAGCAGCAGCAGCAGCAGCAGCAGCAGCAGCAGCAGCGGCAGCAGCGGCAGCAGCAGCGGCGGCAGCAGCAGCAGAGGCAGCAGCCGCGGTAGCAGCGGAGGGCGAAGAAAGAGAGGGACAAGGTGGGACAAGGATGAGGGGCTAATGTTCGGCTCGTTTGAACGGTGTGTGTGTGTTTTGCGTATATGTATCTGTGTCCCTTATATGTATATGTGTGTCTGTACCGAGCATGAATGTAAGGAGTCGTTAATTTATATCGAGATAAGGTGACCACTATCAAGTGTTGGTAGTATTCTGAGCCTTTCCCACTTTTCTCCAAATTCAGTCAACTTATTACGTCTTCCCGCAAGAAGACGTTCTTTCTCGAACTCTAATTTCAATTCATTAAAAAAATGTTGCACTGAGGGTTTTGTTTCTTGCTTTTTTGCCGAGTAAATGGCCACTTTCGCTAAAACATACACAATAACCTCAGTGCTTTCGCAGTCATTGAGATTTGGAAAGAACCATTGCTTCTTGTTGAATTTATAATCAATTCCAAAACGTGTTCTAAGAACATTGCAAATTTCACTTATATACTCCTTAACTAAAGCGCAGTCCCAGAATAGATGATATAATGTTTCCGGTTCGCGACAGCAGAATGAACATTTATCGTTCTCATATTTACCTATTTTGTACAGAAAACTATTTGATGCTATAATCCTATGAACTAACCGAAAATGAAAAATTTGCAAGTAGGTATTCCTAGTAGCACTGCGGACATCTGCTACAGTGCCTTTTTGAAAGTGATCTATATCTCTCAACCATTTTCCTTCAGCATTGCTTTGTGTTTTGTGATGCGTTTTTCCTAGGTGCTGAACATATTCCAAATACGCTATACGGGATAATTTATTTTTTGCGAGGATTATTTTTAATGTGTAAGGTATAATTGGGTATGTTAGTTGAAATTTGTAGTTAGTTGTTTTCACCTCTTCGGGCAGACTTCTAATGAGTGACGAATAACAGAGGAAGGTCATACGAATACCATACACTTTTTCAAGTTCTGTTTTGCTATGAATTGCTCCGGTTTGATTATTTATGAGATCGGCAATAAACCGTAACCCTTTCTTGTCCCATGTTTTGACCTTACTTGTCTTAAATTTGGAAAAGTCTGAAAACCACAGTGTTTCGGAAGTCATTTCCAGATTGTCAGGCTGTGATATTTGTCTGAAATATCTCCAGGCTTCTAAAACATGTTTCCAGAAAGCATTATTAGTCCTATTTATTACTTCTGAGATCATCGTAGCCCCGTATAACAGCAATTCTTGAGAAGGAGGAAGCTGTTCTTTTGTTAAGATGGTCCAATCATGTCGTGAATCATGCAGCCTCTTTATCCATGTTACTTTCATACTTCGAATAAAGCTTTTGACATCCACCATTTCAAGTCCATCTTTTGTATATTTCTGCACAATTTTGGACCGTTTGACTCGATCAGGCTTGTCGCCCCACAAAAAACGGAACAACAGTTTTTCAATTTTCTTAATTTCAATGTCCGATGGCGAGGGAAGTGCTAGAAATATATGAACTAACTTAGATAATAGAAGTGACTTAACCCGCGCCCCGTAGGGCTATCGGCGGACCCTACCACCCGTAGGGGAGGGGCCGTTTCGGCCCCCCCCCCTAAGATCTCGGAAAGTTACCGGCCGATTTTCAAAATTCAAACGGCGTTCGATAGCCCCACCCGGGAACTACCTTGTGACCAAATTTCATTGACCTAGGTCAAACCGATGACGTCACAGGTCAGGTCAAAGGTCAGATTTTTACCGTTCACAGGCAATTCAAGAAATGTGCTGTGAAAGCGAGTAAATTGGTAATTTATTGAAAACCATCGATGGTACATTGTTCGTCAAACACATACTTTGCTATCTGAGGTCACTGATACCAGGTCAGGTCACAGCGAGGTCAGGTCACCGGGGGTCACAATATGAATGTGTCGTGTGATACATGTTTTATGGTCCATTTTACATGACAAATGCGATTATGTGGGTTAGGCAGCCTTTGGGGCCAGCCTAGGTCACGTTTTGGTGAAGGTCAGGTCAAGGTCAGGTCAAATTAGGTCAAATTTCAAAGTTGATATTTTTGCATAAAATGGGTATGGATTCGATGCAGCTCGTCACGGGGAGTCTAATGGTGGTCTTCGTTTTGCTCTACGAGTTCTAGAATTGCCAACAATTGAGTTTGAAAATTTGACGTCATCATTTTTGAACAGTTTTTTCGCTATAACTTGGCCAAAAAACGAGGTATCGATCTGAAATTTGACGTAATGACATGATGTGGAGATGGAATTAAATTGATGAAATACTAGGACTTACTCCACAAGGAGATCGAATGGGTCGGAGCGCTTTCAATATGTATTATACATATCGTCGTCAGCGAATCAATAACGGGTCGAATCGAGTCGGGTATCGAAGAGGTTCGGGAGCTGCGCGGCAGAGCGATCACATACTATTCGAATTATGCATTAAAGAGAATAAAAAACACGTGAGAACAATCATGATACACTAGCTGCTAAAATGAATTAAAATGGGGTGCTAAAATGCATAAATGGCACGTATAAAAGTACAATAAGGGGGGGGGGGAAACAGGATACCTATGGTGATAAAGACTGAGTAGAAAAGGGAACAAAGACTATACAAAACTGAGTGCAAAAACTGTAAAAGGACGAGTACAAATGTAAATACATACAAAGGCCGAACTAGACGTAAACACTACTGACAAAAACGGCGGATTATCGGCAGCCAGCGGTCATGCAGCAGGGCACCCGAGTTCCTGTTCACGTTTGCGTCATTCGGCGACACCAGGACGGCTTCACGCCGACCAACAGTCCGAATATAGGCCGATTCCAGGAGAAGTCGCATCTGGTGATGACTGGCTCGATTCAAGATCTTGATGGCATCGAAAGCAGGTGAGCAGTCTCTATGGGTACTGAAGGCCGATGTATTGGCTCTCGAGCGGACTGCTCCAGTCCAGCTCTCCCGGTGTTCTCGGAGTCTCGTGCCCAGCTCACGATCTGTCTCGCCGATATAGACCATTGGGTCACCGTCCACTTGGCAGGAGCACTCGATCCGATAGATGACGTTGCTCTGTTGTAGCTTAGGCAGTTGGTGCTTAGCCTTGCTGCAGAGCAGCGAGCCGATGGTGACTGAAGGCTTGGAGACGAGCTGGATCCCGATCTTGCTGGCCTCCCGTTTGAGTTGGTAGAACAGGGGGCCGGCAAACGGAACAGAGACTCGGACAGGCGCCGGGTGTGAGTTCGCGCTAGGTGGCGCTGGTAGGGCCCTTGCCTTCAGTCTGAGATCGGTCAGAGTCTTCTGAATGGCCGAGTCGATGAATGATCGTGGGTAGCCATGATGATGAAACTTCTGGCGGATGAAGTCAAGCTCCTGCTGGCGGTCTCTCATGGACGAACAGTATCGGATCGCTCGAGTGCAGTCAGATCGAATGGCCGCTCTCAGGTAGCGGGTCTCGGTGTAGGAGCTGAAGGCAGGCACTTGGTTGGTGTTGCAGGACTTCCTGTAGACCTTGGTGCAGAACTTGTCGTCTCTTCTAGTGATGCAGATGTCAAGATACGGTAGCTGTCGGTTTACTTCCAAGTCAGTGGTGACATTGATGCTGGAGTCCTTGCTGTTCAGCTGGTTGACCCACGTGCTGAGGATGTCGTCACTGCCCTCGAACAAGACCAGGTAGTCGTCCGCGTATCGGCAGAAAGCATGGACCCTGCCACCACAGTTGGCCGCCAGGAGCTCCAGATCAGCCTCCCAGTGACCCATGTACAGGTCAGCGACCACCGGAGAGTAGCTTTTGCCCATGGCTAGGCCGGTAGTCTGCCTGAACCATCGCTCCTTGTCACCGTCTTGAATGACCGCATGGCAGTTCTGGATAGAGATGTTCAGCAGGTCAGCGACTGCGTCGGGCTTGAGACAAGTTACGTCGGAGAGGGCGTCTCTGTTGTCTCGCAGCTGAGTACGAATCAGTGAGATGGCTGTCTGAGTAGGTATTGACGGGAACATCGCCTCCACATCCAGGGAGACGAGACGGCAGCTGTTGACCGCATGCGTCATGTTCTGTAGCATCTCCAGGACTTGCAGTGGAGAGCTGACCGAGTGTGGAGGGCGTGGGAGGACTTTCAGACACTTCGTCAGATGCTTGGTCAACTCGTAATCTGCACCGCGGTGGGCTGGGCAGATTGGTCTCAGTTTCAAGTTGGAGATCCAGTTGAGTCTGTCGTCGTCGGTGCTGGGAGGTGATGAGTATTTGTGAGTTTTCACAAGTCCATAGAACGGACCGCTGCGGCCATGGGTCTTGGAGAGGCGGCGATAGAGTTGGTAGCCTTCTGGGTTGTTCTCCTTCAGCATGGTGTCACGTCGCCTTCCACGAACAGCAGGTCCGGCCAATGCTGTGAGCAGGTGCTCGTTAAACCTGCCAGCAAAGGCTTCCGCTGGATCACTGGTTACCTCCTCGTAGACCGGTGACTGGAGTGAACGTAGAAGGGCTGCTGTGTAGTCAGACTTGCTTATCACCACCAGAGAAGATACTGAGAAGATACTGACACAGGCCAACAACCAACCACAGCCTAAGCCGCCTAAACAACTGACCGAGTCTTTGAAGTCACTTACCAGAGATAACTCCAAGGTGATTGTTCCAGCAGACAAGGCCAAGGCTCTGGTGGTGATAAGCAAGTCTGACTACACAGCAGCCCTTCTACGTTCACTCCAGTCACCGGTCTACGAGGAGGTAACCAGTGATCCAGCGGAAGCCTTTGCTGGCAGGTTTAACGAGCACCTGCTCACAGCATTGGCCGGACCTGCTGTTCGTGGAAGGCGACGTGACACCATGCTGAAGGAGAACAACCCAGAAGGCTACCAACTCTATCGCCGCCTCTCCAAGACCCATGGCCGCAGCGGTCCGTTCTATGGACTTGTGAAAACTCACAAATACTCATCACCTCCCAGCACCGACGACGACAGACTCAACTGGATCTCCAACTTGAAACTGAGACCAATCTGCCCAGCCCACCGCGGTGCAGATTACGAGTTGACCAAGCATCTGACGAAGTGTCTGAAAGTCCTCCCACGCCCTCCACACTCGGTCAGCTCTCCACTGCAAGTCCTGGAGATGCTACAGAACATGACGCATGCGGTCAACAGCTGCCGTCTCGTCTCCCTGGATGTGGAGGCGATGTTCCCGTCAATACCTACTCAGACAGCCATCTCACTGATTCGTACTCAGCTGCGAGACAACAGAGACGCCCTCTCCGACGTAACTTGTCTCAAGCCCGACGCAGTCGCTGACCTGCTGAACATCTCTATCCAGAACTGCCATGCGGTCATTCAAGACGGTGACAAGGAGCGATGGTTCAGGCAGACTACCGGCCTAGCCATGGGCAAAAGCTACTCTCCGGTGGTCGCTGACCTGTACATGGGTCACTGGGAGGCTGATCTGGAGCTCCTGGCGGCCAACTGTGGTGGCAGGGTCCATGCTTTCTGCCGATACGCGGACGACTACCTGGTCTTGTTCGAGGGCAGTGACGACATCCTCAGCACGTGGGTCAACCAGCTGAACAGCAAGGACTCCAGCATCAATGTCACCACTGACTTGGAAGTAAACCGACAGCTACCGTATCTTGACATCTGCATCACTAGAAGAGACGACAAGTTCTGCACCAAGGTCTACAGGAAGTCCTGCAACACCAACCAAGTGCCTGCCTTCAGCTCCTACACCGAGACCCGCTACCTGAGAGCGGCCATTCGATCTGACTGCACTCGAGCGATCCGATACTGTTCGTCCATGAGAGACCGCCAGCAGGAGCTTGACTTCATCCGCCAGAAGTTTCATCATCATGGCTACCCACGATCATTCATCGACTCGGCCATTCAGAAGACTCTGACCGATCTCAGACTGAAGGCAAGGGCCCTACCAGCGCCACCTAGCGCGAACTCACACCCGGCGCCTGTCCGAGTCTCTGTTCCGTTTGCCGGCCCCCTGTTCTACCAACTCAAACGGGAGGCCAGCAAGATCGGGATCCAGCTCGTCTCCAAGCCTTCAGTCACCATCGGCTCGCTGCTCTGCAGCAAGGCTAAGCACCAACTGCCTAAGCTACAACAGAGCAACGTCATCTATCGGATCGAGTGCTCCTGCCAAGTGGACGGTGACCCAATGGTCTATATCGGCGAGACAGATCGTGAGCTGGGCACGAGACTCCGAGAACACCGGGAGAGCTGGACTGGAGCAGTCCGCTCGAGAGCCAATACATCGGCCTTCAGTACCCATAGAGACTGCTCACCTGCTTTCGATGCCATCAAGATCTTGAATCGAGCCAGTCATCACCAGATGCGACTTCTCCTGGAATCGGCCTATATTCGGACTGTTGGTCGGCGTGAAGCCGTCCTGGTGTCGCCGAATGACGCAAACGTGAACAGGAACTCGGGTGCCCTGCTGCATGACCGCTGGCTGCCGATAATCCGCCGTTTTTGTCAGTAGTGTTTACGTCTAGTTCGGCCTTTGTATGTATTTACATTTGTACTCGTCCTTTTACAGTTTTTGCACTCAGTTTTGTATAGTCTTTGTTCCCTTTTCTACTCAGTCTTTATCACCATAGGTATCCTGTTTCCCCCCCCCCCTTATTGTACTTTTATACGTGCCATTTATGCATTTTAGCACCCCATTTTAACCCTCGCCGGCCGAGGGGGGGGGCGGGTGCCGCCCCCCCCATAGGGTTTTTTTCGCGATAGCTCCGAACACGCTGGCGATAGAGAGCTGAAACTTGGCATACCTGACCTTTGATCCAAGCCGCATCTTTTGACACCAACCGCATTTTTGGGTCAGGTCAGGTCACTGACCTATGACGTCATAAGTGAACCTCTGCACGGTCTTCAGATGTCGCAACTTCGCAACGCCCTCACTGCCAGAGGAGATGTCACAGGGAAATGAAACTTGCAGGATCTAGTATCCATTATGAGTCTCACAACTTGTATATCTCGGATTTTTCCTAGAGGTCATATGAGGTCAGGTCATTTTCGTGACCTCACCATTATAAGTCAATGGGGAAAAATTCAAACTGCTATTCTGGCGCCGGGAACGATCTCCAACTATCTCAAGCACACAGAATCTTGTTTTGGTGCACTCCTTGCAAGGTTAGATGCGTCAATTTTGCAATGTTGACCTTCCGTGACGTCATTTATGACGTCATCAAGGTCATATTAGTTTTTCGTCAATAACTCCCGATCAAATTGAGCTAGCGAGTCGGGAAAGCCACCAATGGACTCAGGAAGACCTGCCGAATCGAATGATATGCGACATGACCTCTTTCGACCAACTTCGTGACCTGGGGGTGCTGACCTGACCTTGACCTGGGGTCAACACTCCAAGTTGACCTGACCCGGACAAAAAGTATATCATTCGACGCGCCTGATCAAGGCGAACACGATGCTGCCAAAATCGCGGCTCTGCGGCCGTTTTTTGCGAAGTTATTCACCAAAAACTGAACCGTACCCTGGGGCACTTGACCTGACCTCAGAGGTCACCGGTTGACCTAGGACCTTAAAATCGGGTACCAATCTCTGCGTCTCGTACCGGCGCACACGCTCGTTTTTTCCGCGACGCGCTAGCTCCACCAGGGGCGAAACGGCGAGGGGGGGGTCGTACCCGCCCCCCCCCTCGGCCGGCGCGTATGTAGAAAACCAATAGGTCCGGCGAGGGTTAATTCATTTTAGCAGCTAGTGTATCATGATTGTTCTCACGTGTTTTTTATTCTCTTTAATGCATAATTCGAATAGTATGTGATCGCTCTGCCGCGCAGCTCCCGAACCTCTTCGATACCCGACTCGATTCGACCCGTTATTGATTCGCTGACGACGATATGTATAATACATATTGAAAGCGCTCCGACCCATTCGATCTCCTTGTGGAGTAAGTCCTAGTATTTCATCGATCTGAAATTTGGTATGTAGATAGAAGACGGTAGGCACTATCACATATATTCCGGTTTTTTCGAAACTCAAAAAACTTTTTGGATTTTTTGGCGAATATATCCAAAAAAATGCTTTTTTGATTTTTGGGGGTCAAAACTCAAAAATTTCAAAAATTCGAGATAGCAGTTTTGTAGCCCTGTCAATTCTACACCTTTTATGTCTTCATCATTTTCCTGTATTGTCGCGACCGGGGGGTACTGTGCGTCTGTTGCCTAGCAACGAAATTGTTGTCATATTTTTGTGCTTAGAAAATTAAGGAAAAAGGGGGCTTTTTATGAGAAAAACTGATTGAAACGGGGTCATTAATTATAGCTTATTCTGAAACAGTGAAAGTAAATATGCAGAGCCAAGGGCGATGCATTCACTGATTAGCAAGTGTCAAAGTGACATTCAAGAAAGGTTTTAGCTTTATGTTTCAACTTATTTCTTAGTTTATTTTCTCTCGTTAGCCGCAATGTGCGACTTTTGGAACGGTGTTTTTCATTTCGATCAAGGAGCGAAGTGGATCAAGCCTGTACCAAAATAAACATTGATTTCGAAAGTGCATTTGCGGCATTAAGTTTCACATTTTTTAACGGCTAACGGTGACAGTTCCAAAAAGTTCCAAAAAGTTCCAAAATGTTTGCAAAGTTCTAAGATGAGCTGCGCAGCATACGTTTAAGAGAAGCTGCTCAGATATAAAGTAGCATGATGCAAACCAATGTAGCGTCTGAATTCAAGTTATCAACTTTGATTAAGATACACTGATTTATTTGCACCAATCATGTCAGCATCTGATTTCAAAAGGAAGCGTGGAAGGATGCTGTCAAATCTCACCAGAGTGAGAAGACGAGCCCTAGTAATGATTGAAAATAGAGGCTCTAGGACGCAGCTGGTCGACATGCTTAAGGAGCTGGACGCTGCACTTGAGTCTTTAGAAGAAGTGAACGAAGAGCTCAAAGAAGCAATAGCAGAAGATGAAGCACTTGTTCAAGAAGCAGTCGATTACATGAAGCTTGCAGAGCAGCAACACGACGAAGCATATCAATGCATACGAGAATATTTGAAATCCAGACAAGGCGAACCACCATCTATAGTGTCGGGCTCAATTCAGTCTCACCAGTCCAGCAGCTCGTTAGCTGCTCGAAGCGCTGACATTGCTTTTCAAGTGAAAGAAAAGGAACGTAAGCTTCTGGAGCGGCGACACCTGAGAGAAAGGGAAGAACAAGAGTTGCGAAGAAAAAATGAGCTTCAAGCCGCTAAAGATGCCGAAGAGTTAGCCAGGCTAGAAGCGCGCCTTACCGCAGCTGCTGAGAGTGAGCTCAGCTGGGACCGCAGAAAGGATTTTGATGGTGAGGCATCCGCAGTTGAAGAGCAAGGAGCTCAAACCGAAGGCGATTCCCCAG